GCTCATCGTCATTTGGTAAATATATCTATGAATAGCCTACTACCCACGTGTGTGTGACTACGTGTATTTTTACACAGTATTATAGCCTGGTGTGTGTGTCTGTCTCAGACACATGCGCTCCCCAACATGTTGCTCTGATTTTAGCCTAAATCCCGCCTACAATCAGTATACCTCCTCACGTGGATTAAACCATGTTGCCGACTGCACACGTGTTTACGCACGGGATTGGCCACAGCGCTGCCTGTCTATGATAGAAAGTCACTGCTGACCGGGGCATCACCACTGGGCTATTACTATTCAGATTAGGAGGAGGGTCTATGCGTAACGCTCATAATCATGGACGCGTTTTGTACGGCTCAGACGGAATATTGAACAGACAGGGCGTTCAGGCACGCTGCTGGTTACAGTGTATCGACTCGAGAACTCAGCGACAACATTAACCGGTGTTTGAAATACTTTTGTTACATTGTTATTCTGGATGAGGATGCCATACCAAGCAGGAGGTAAAACATTTTTCTACAGGAAGGTACCCTAGCTAGGACTTGAAACTTGAGGAAAATAGTTATCTGCATGATTCAAAGATGCTTTGGTTGGTATCTGCCTATAGACAGAACGCTTGTCAGGTCCTAGGGCAGAGATTGACAAGGCAGAAGGCTTAAGGACAAGGACAGAATAAATGGTAAAACAAATTATAATATTGGCCTCATAATGATCATACCTCATACTTTTGCATGCATATCTCCAAATATCAACAGTTCAATAATTTAAGGATTTTGTTCCAATATCCCCAACTGTATAGGCTACTGTTTAAATGGGTCGTTACACCAATTTGGTGCCTTTTGTGAAGTGTAACTTGGTCCACAAAAAAAAAGAACTTTGTTCAACTTCATTAAAAAAAAACACGTTTTCCCATTTTACGAGGTAAAAACAAAAAAGACTACAGTAAGTGACCTATTAGGTACATACTAAAGTAACAGGGTTGACGTCACAGTCTTCATTTCATCTTAAATCGGGCATAAATCCCCTTGTGACAGGGGGATTGGAAGCTTGTTGTGTGCAACAGGGAGTGGCAATTGAATGCAAGCTTCACAAAGAAAATTGTTAAAACATTCTAGCCTGTCTATCAATGGGTAACTGGGTTGAGGTGTTATACTCGACCCCAGTGCCATGCACAGACATTTCGGGGGGCAGGTGCTCAAACTGTAAAAAGGGCACCAAAAAAAATATATATATTCGGCAACCGTGGTCACATACTTGTTGAGCAATTACGACTATTATTATTTAGTTACATAACGACAATAGATGGCCACATCTTAATATCTAATGAAATAACACATATTTTAATGTGAATTTAATGAGGACTTGCTGGGCAGTGGATTCAGAACAACAATGACAAAAACGGTATACATTTTATTTTACCCAAAACAAAAGTGCACTTTAGAGACTGGGAGGGGCATGTGCTCCGTGCAGGTAGAGCCCAATCTGTGCACGTGCCTGCTCGACCAGCTCCGTTTTCCACCAGAAAATTGCAAAAAAGAGTAGAACCAGCTAACATTTTACATTACATTTTAGTCATTTTGCAGACACTCTTATCCAGAGCGACTTACAGGAGCAATTAGGCCTGCTTTTACACTATGGTTTACACTATTAGTTCAATGTAGTTTCCACCATATTAAAGTTTCACCATATTAATGTGAGAGTTCAGTTCACTTAACAGGGTTGACATATTAATGTGAGAGTTCAGTTCACTTAACAGGGTTGACATATTAATGTGAGAGTTCAGTTCACTTAACAGGGTGACATATTAATGTGAGAGTTCAGTTCACTTAACAGGGTTGACATATTAATGTGAAAGTTCAGTTCACTTAACAGGGTTGACATATTAATGTGAGAGTTAAATTCACTTAACAGGGTTGACATACAGTGGGGGAAAAAAGTATTTAGTCAGCCACCAATTGTGCAAGTTCTCCCACTTAAAAAGATGAGAGAGGCCTGTAATTTTCATCATAGGTACACGTCAACTATGACAGACAAAATTAGAAAAGGAAATCCAGAAAATCACATTGTAGGATTTTTAATGAATTTATTTGCAAATTATGGTGGAAAATAAGTATTTGGTCAACAACAAAAGTTTCTCAATACTTTGTTATATACCCTTTGTTGGCAATGACACAGGTCAAACGTTTTCTGTAAGTCTTCACAAGGTTTTCATACACTGTTGCTGGTATTTTGGCCCATTCCTCCATGCAGATCTCCTCTAGAGCAGTGATGTTTTGGGGCTGTCGCTGGGCAACACGGACTTTCAACTCCCTCCAAAGATTTTCTATGGGGTTGAGATCTGGAGACTGGCTAGGCCACTCCAGGACCTTGAAATGCTTCTTACGAAGCCACTCCTTCGTTGCCCGGGCGGTGCGTTTGGGATCATTGTCATGCTGAAAGACCCAGCCACGTTTCATCTTCAATGCCCTTGCTTATGGAAGGAGGTTTTCAATCAAAATCTCACGATACATGGCCCCATTCATTCTTTCCTTTACACGGATCAGTCGTCCTGGTCCCTTTGCAGAAAAACAGCCCCAAAGCATGATGTTTCCACCCCCATGCTTCACAGTAGGTATGGTGTTCTTTGGATGCAACTCAGCATTCTTTGTCCTCCAAACACGACGAGTTGAGTTTTTACCAAAAAGTTCTATTTTGGTTTCATCTGACCATATGACATTCTCCCAATCCTCTTCTGGATCATCCAAATGCACTCTAGCAAACTTCAGACGGGCCTGGACATGTACTGGCTTAAACAGGGGGACACGTCTGGCACTGCAGGATTTGAGTCCCCGGCGGCGTAGTGTGTTACTGATGGTAGGCTTTGTTACTTTGGTCCAAGCTCTCTGCAGGTCATTCACTAGGTCCCCCCCATGTGTTTCTGGGATTTTTGCTCACCGTTCTTGTGATCATTTTGACCCCACGGGGTGAGATCTTGCGTGGAGCCCCAGATCGAGGGAGATTATCAGTGGTCTTGTATGTCTTCCATTTCCTAATAATTGCTCCCACAGTTGATTTCTTCAAACCAAGCTGCTTACCTATTGCAAATTCAGTCTTCCCAGCCTGGTGCAGGTCTACAATTTTGTTTCTGGTGTCCTTTGACAGCTCTTTGGTCTTGGCCATAGTGTGACTGTTTGAGGTTGTGGACAGGTGTCTTTTATACTGATAGCAAGTTCAAACAGGTGCCATTAATACAGGTAACGAGTGGAGGACAGAGGAGCCTCTTAAAGAAGAAGTTACAGGTCTGTGAGAGCCAGAAATCTTGCTTGTTTGTAGGTGACCAAATACTTATTTTCCACCATAATTTGCAAATAAATTCATTAAAATCCTACAATGTGATTTTCTGGATTTTTTTTTCTCAATTTGTCTGTCATAGTTGACGTGTACCTATGATGAAAATTACAGGCCTCTCTCATCTTTTTAAGTGGGAGAACTTGCACAATTTGTGAGAGTTCAGTTCACTTAACAGGGTTGACCTTAAAATAAGGGACAGGTGTAAATGAATCACAAATCACATGAAATAAATAATAATCTTCAGTAACTTTTTCAAAGCAACAAAACTAGGGTTTTACAATGATGGTAAAAAAACTTGGAGAAATGTTGGGGGTAAGTGGGTTAAAATCTTCTTCCTAGAAGTCACAGAGGGTGCACTGAGGGACATGTCAAAATGCTGAATTTTGGGACTTTAGCAAGTCTGATTTATTGAATTTTCCATGTGGTCTATATTAAAGGGCACTTCATTTAATAAAACAGGCTTTTAAAATTAAATATTGGTGCACAATTTCTAATTCCCAAATACTATTTTCTGAAAACTTAGTGAGTGCTTTTAGTCATTTGCTTATGCCTAGCCGACTAAACTCAACTCCACAATTTACGATGGAGTTGAGCGGCAACTATTGTGGGCGGACTTGACCTCCGACGTCACATAAAAGGAAGTTTCTATCAAAAACGACTGATTTGAGCACCCTGATTGCAGCTCCGTGATTTCAGCACCCTGATTTCTGTGTAATTGCGGGATATTCTTTGGATGCTGAAATCATTTTCTTGTGACGTCAGAGGTCAAGTCCACCCACAATAGTCTCCGCTGAACTCCATCGTAAATCGTGGAGTTGAGTTTAATCGGCTAGGTTGTGAGAAGGAAACGGTGAACGATCTTCAGACCTGACAAACAAACTAAATTGTTATGTATACTTTGCAATGCTTCCATGTTATGATGATGAATATCATTCTGTGTATCGTGCACACATGTATCAATGGGGGTTGTTATTTCTGTGTAGCAGCTATAGTGCCACTGCCAGCCAGCAATTACATAACACGGTTGGGGGAGGTACTTTGCACAGAGCCTATCTAGCCACAGATGATCTTATCAAGTTACTCCTCCCTCATCCGTGTGCAAGTCCTAGGGTGTCTACACACAGGCTACGCCACGTTACAGCAGCTTATAGCAAACATGTGAGCCCTTACTCAGTGCTGCTTACTCCAATTACTCGCTATTCAAGTCATGCTGGATGGGCAGTGTGATGAGGTAGGCTTGTATAGCCTTTTTTTTTTTTTTAAATGTGGCAACAGCAAACAGCTTAGACCATTAGGAAGTAAGGAAATTCTGTCCTATTTTTCTCCCCACATTTGTGATCCATAAACTGACTGGAAGATGTAGCCTACTGAAAAAGTTTGTATTTGATGTCCTTAAATCAATCAATCTCTTGGGGAAATTATTCTGTCATGTTGGTATTCCATCATAAATATCTATTCTGATGCCCTCAGGTTGAGCTTTAACAGTGGTAACACTGGGGGATCATTTAGTTTACAGGTCTGTTATATAAAGTAGAACTGGTGTCATGTATACGCTGGTGAAGCCTGTAATGTCGAAATTCGTTGCTTTTTAGCAATAAAGAAGCATTTTTGTCCTCCCAAGAGTGGCTGAATGTCCAATTTGTTCTCCAGTTCATACGCCTCTTTGGACTATGAGGTAACAACCATATACTTTTCTCCTTTGTACAAACTTTAGCCATCCATGCCCAAATCCATAATAGGGATATGTGAAAGCATCTTTACTCTACTGAGTTACTGAACCAGTCACGTAGTCCAGCATTAGTCATCAATTTGATCAGGAGGACACCTGGTCTCACTGCTCTCCTCCCTGAAGGTCCGTGATGCCAAAGGAGCATTTTGGGGAGCAGCCCGAGCGCGTACCCCAGGGCACCTCTAAGAATGCCAAGGATAAGAGTAACAGTGCCACTCTGCGGGCATCCCAGGGTGGCACTCACAGAGACCAGGAGGGTAGGAGAATGGGCATGAACGGGAGGATGTCACGCTCTGACTCAGAGAAGGACTCAGAGAAAGACTCGGGATACTCCGGTGAGTAACTCTACTTTTGTCCACAAGAGATATTCCCTTTTTTGCCCACAGCAAACATTGGCACCATGTGGCCCAGGGTTGGGATCAATTTGAATTGGCCCATAGAGATGTATAGAGATCGTTACATGGAAATAACCTGTTTTTGCATGGATACTGCCATTGAGGGCTTCCGCCATTTTAAAGTAGTCAACTGTGTGGCGATTCCTATGGGTTGGCAGCCATTAGCCAATGATCAGAGCATTGTCTTCTTTCAAATTGGGTTGCGTATGGTTTGTAAATGGTTTTAAGCTATATGGCCGCCATCTAGTGGTCACAATAATAAATGACACAAGATTTACTGTAGGTGGCGGTAAGTCACCAATATTAGCTTTACACTTTTTTCAAACATCAAAAGTAGAAGAAAATTGACTTTAAAATGGAGATGTCACAGACGACATAATGGCACAGATACAACGTTGCGATCTCTACACATCTCTATGAATTGGCCACACCCCACAGGAAGCTGAATTAGAATTTAATTAAAAGCGTTTCAAACCAATTCAACTGAGACATGAAACATGATAGTGTCATTCATTTGACAAACCTTTTATTCAAATGATATGCCACTTATCCATGCAAAGAATACACATACCATTTAAAATATTAGTTTGATTATAACTCAAAGATGTCAAACAGTATTTTCTTTTAATGAGATGTTATTGTTCCCTTCCATACTGCAGTGTTTGATCTATTGCATTCTGGGAATGTATTTTTTTAAAATATATTTAAAAACATTAAGGGAATAATGAATTATTATAGACAACCCACAACATGATCTTAACATATTTACAGACCACTGTAATTATTTAAAATAGTTTTAGGAGAATGAGTTTTCAAAAATGAAATATTTCAACCTTATGCTACACGGTATTGGTAACCATACAGTATGTAAAAAATAAACATTACTATGGTGAGTGATGTGTAGAATAAATAAGCCATTTGAATTTCATTGAAATAAATTATACTTCCTTTAATTCAAATTCTGCTTCCTGTAGGGTGTGGCCAATTCAAATTCAATAATTTTATTGGAATTAAAGAGCAATTCGCAACTCAATTAAGAATTATCCCGAACCCTGATGTGGGCCCAATGCAGGCTCAAATATTGATCCGATCTAGCATGGCCATATTGGGCCGATGCGACTTTGTTCGTCAGCGTTATAGTGAGTGTAGCCCTCAGTTTGTGTGAGCAGCCCATATCTGGTGAGTGTAGCCCTCACTTTGCCTGCTATAAACTCACCCTTTGGATCAGCTGCCATTATTGGGCTCATTTGTGGACCACTATGAGCTCATGGACTTGGCCCTACAAAAAAAAAAAAAAAACAGTAGGACAACCAGGAAATGGAATCATTAAAAACGTTGGGACCAGCTGGGTTTGTGTATTGCACGTACTGGAGGAAAAGAAAAGGGGGAAACCTAGTCAGTTGTACAACTGACTACCCCTCTGAATCAGAGGAGTCCTACTGGTGTCATACATTCACCCAGCTACCTTAAGATGAATGCACCAACTAAGTGGCTCTGGATAGGAGCGTCTGCTAAATGACTCAAATGTAAATGTTTTAATGGCTTTGTCAACAGAATGAATCTCCTCCCCCTTTCATTTCTCTCTCTTACTCTCTCTCTCTCTCTCTTTCTTTCTTTCTCTCCTCCTTCCACCCCTCTCTTTCTCTTCCCCAGAGGCTGGTTCGGACTCGGTGCAAATTGATCTGGATGACCAGCGTAGCAGCGTGAGTGAGCCCCACCGGGCCCACCGCAGTAGCAGTTCCCTGCCCCACCGGGCCCACCGCAGTAGCAGCTCCCTGGGCCACAACATGCCCCCGTTTGAGGAGCAAAACCCCATCTACGTCATCAAGAACCTGGTGGTTAAACCGGTGAGACACTCAGCCCTGAAAGCGTGTGTCATTGTAGATTACAATAATGTTTGGTTAGGGTTTGCATTGTCAATTATTTGTTCAAAGCATATTTTCCTCGTCCCCTTCCTGTTCCTTTTATCTGATCTGTGAATGTAACCCCCTCCCCATGTCTTATCTGTGTTCTCTGGCTCCTGCTCTGCTCACAATACACCCCTGGTTATAACCTCCTGATGGTGTAGTCCGGACCAGAGGAACTACTGCACAGACCCCTGGCATGGGGGGGAGGATGGGACAGTCTGTCTGGTTTCAAGGCCCCCACCCAGCACCTGCTCATCCAAAAACCAGGGGTACCCTCCCCCTTCCTTGCCCCCTCCAATCTGCCAGATCCCCAGGGCCAGTCCAAGAAAGGGGGCAGTAGAAGCAACAAGAACCATACCAGCAAGAACTCCTACCTCCCCATCCTCAACTCCTACCCCCGAATCGCCCCCCACCCGAGGAAGGAAGGCTTAGAGCAGGGCAGAGAGGGTGCAGGGGCGGTGAAGGAGAGCAGCAGAGAGGGCCAGAGCCGGAGCAAGAGGGTGTGTACAGAGGACAAGAGAGAAGCAGTGTCCACCACCACTCATCTTCGACCACAGCAGCACCACCACCACCAGCGAGAGAGCAGAACCCAATCCCATTACAAAGTCAGCAGCAGCCAAAGCTCTTCCCCCCACCTCCCTCACCATTCCATGGGTGGCCCTGCATCCTCCACCCAGCAGGGATCTAACTGCTGCCACCAACATGCCAAACCCAGCCCCTCTCCCTCCCGCTCCAATGGTGTTGGCTCCCCATCCATCATCAGCTCCCAAGCGTCCTCCTCATCCTCCTCGTCCTCCGCCGACAGCTGGGCCCCAGAGGCGTCGATAGACCTGTCCGACTGCTTGTCTGACTGCTCGTTGGTGCGTCAGCGGCGCTTCCTCAACACGGCAGAGATCCTGAGCCAGTCGGGCCTGCTGGCCATCACGCTGCGCACCAAGGAGCTGCTGCGCCAGAATGCCGCCACTGAGAAAGAGCTGGCCCAGCTCCGCCAGCACGCCCAGCTCCTCTGTCTGGCAGCCCAGACCGGCCAAGAGGCCACCCAGCAAGGCCCCAACGACAGTCCCAGCCCCATGGACAAGCTGCTCCAGGCCATGTCCCAGTCGGGACGCTACCCGAGCCTGGACTGGACCTACTTTAATGCCAACGGCCACAACCATCCTGAGAAAGGAGACGAGGCTGAGAAACACAGCAGTAACAACAACAAGCGTTGCCCGTCTCAGAACCCCTTGGCAGCAGCGTCCCATGACGATGGCACGTCACCTCCGTCGCCACTTCTCGCCCTGTCTCCTGACCCAGAGGACCGTCCCAATGTTCTCGCCCTGTCTCCTGACCCAGAGGACCGTCCCAATGTTCTCGCCAGCCTGCTCTCCATCTCTCCATCTTCCCCTCCCCAGGGTCGGGCCGCTAAGCCCCTGTGTGACCTCATCATGCACCCGGATAGCTCCACCCACCAGGCCTATTTATTCTAGCTCCTACGGGGAGGGGCTTCCATGGAGGACGTTTGACAGAGGTGCACGTGCCACTCTAGGGGGAGAAGCTGAGGAGAGAGGGGAATGCACTGAACTGTGCAAAACTGTGAATACACGATCTTAACTGTATTACATCTGATGGATCAGTACAACAACTCTTTTTTTTCTTTACTGTTGACTTTACTACCACAGTTAAATCAATCACAATATTGCTTATTTTATTGATCAAATTAGCCAGGGTATTTCAATAATGAGAACATACAAATATGCTTCTTAGGTGACAATGTAAACAAACATGAGGGTCCATGAATGTATTATCCAATTTAGGACATTCAATTCCAGCAAATCTTATCTTTAAATGTATGAAATATAAATATTCTGCTAGTGCCCTTTTTAAACATAGAAAGGTTCCCTCAGTTGTAGTTTGCTTAAAACCCTTGGTAAAACAATAACAGCACACTAGGATACAAGGGGCGGACAAGCTTTTCAACATAATGGGAAAATGAACACAGTCCATTATCATTTTACTTCAGACGCTCCTTGACCGCCTTAGTGGCGCTGACAGTGTGAAGGGGGACATTGACCTCCTCTACCGACCGTAAGGGTAGTCTCCCATTAACCCACTCATCCAATGGTCAGTGCTACTGTGCTCTCTGGTCATTTGAGGGTTAAAGCCATTCTCAGAATAAAGAATGGCCTGCATGTAGCTTAGTATATTGCAGCTCTGAAGTGCTTTATATACTGTGGGGCATGTTCTCTCTTTGTTCAGTCATATTACCAGCCAGCACTTGTAGAAGGTTTGGGATGTCCATATTTTGCAAGCTTCGTTGAATCCATTCTGTGCCATGTCAAGGACATGGGATGGGAAGAGACTCTGGTGTGACATGAGACTAGAGTCAGTTATCATGGATACAGACACTTTACTAGAGGCACATTGGTCATAATACCTGATTGAATTGTAGTTAGGCTATACAGTAGTCCGACTACTTTGATGTGCATGGCAGTGGGATATCACTGGCTATTTCTGTTGAATTTGGTATGCTCCTTCGATCCTATTTGTAAGTGTGTCACCTAAATTGCAGTATGATTGGATAATGATATTGTGGGTGGGGGTACGGACATGTAATATATGTTTGTCTGCAGCTTTATGGTGCATTAAAGGGGCAATCTGCATTTCAAACAACAATAAAGCATTCGCCCCGTCACCGATTTGTTAAAAAGCTGAGGGACGGGGCTGAAGAAATGTAACCACTCTCAAATTAATAGATAGAGCAATGGATGCAAGGACTGAACATCGTTGAGATCAACATTATAGTTTTAACCATGTTTTGAGGCTATATCGTTTTTTCTTTTACAATTATATTGTTTACAGATTATAAAAAGGTTATATTTTGGGTTCAGATGGGATAGTACAGTTGAAGTTCATGAGGCATTTACACTGAGTGTACTAAACATTAAGAATGACTCCCCCCCCCCACTCCCCCCTCAGAACAGCCTCAATTGGTCGCGGCATGCTGGCCCATGTTGACTCCAATGCTTCCCACAGTTGTGTCAAGTTGGCTGGATGTCCTTTGGGTGGTGGACCACGGGAAACTGTTGAGCGTGAAAAACCCAGCAGCGTTGCAGTTCTTGACACAAACCGGTGTGCCTGGCACCTACTACCATACTCCATTGAAAGGCACACACACAATCCATGTCTCAATTGTCTCAAGGCTTAAAAATCCTTCTTTAACCTGTCTCCTCTCCTTCATCTACACTGATTGAAGTGGATTTAACAAGTTATATCAATATGGGATCATAGCTTTCATCTGGATTCACCTGGTCAGTCTGTCATGGAAAGAGCAGGTGTTCCCAATGTTTTGTCCACTCAGTGTATATTAATCAACTTAAAAATATATTTTTTATATTTTAAGTTATATTCTTTAAGAATCAATAGCGTCATTCATTGAAAAGTCAAAAATGTACGTAGCAATCGCAGCATGCCCCTTTCAAGTACAGTTGTGACATTTGACTGGTTCGATGAAAACACAAAAATATAGGACTTCAGTTATTGTAGAATTGAATTTTAACATGATATAAAATGTATGTAATTGTGTCAAATGAAGTGTTGTTCCCTCCTGCTTCAGGCACCTGAACACACAGGCATGTGAGAGACCTTTTTTTAAGATGATGTAATATAAAGAGCTCTAATTAATTCAATAAATACAATTACTTCAAGGTAATTTATTTGGAGGTCTGTGTTGTGGTTTAATGTGGGTGATATGGTGATGTTTCCATCGTTGCTTAACTGAGGCATGCAAAAGCCACTAAGTATCGCTGACAGACACAAACACAGCCATGAATAAAAGCCGGGCACTATAACAAATGTAGTAATCACAGCCATGAATAAAAGTTAGGCGCCAAAACAGTAATCAATGAGCTGGAACATGTGGATCCCTCTTTGGCTCTCTGGCCCATGGGCTATTATCTACAGAACTTTAGCACGTCAGATGTGTCAACAAAGTGTTCCAGAACGGAACCTCCAGTCAGGGTGAAGGTGACTGCATCTTGTTTTCTGTCTCAGGAGGACCACCCTGGATAAACTTCACATACTGTAGCTAAAACTGGACCTGCTTGGACTACACCTGGAACTGCCCAGAGATAATGAAGACAATAATACAGTCAGACTGACACCAGATCCTGGTCTTTAACCGGAGGGACACATGTTGCAAGGACCAAACAGCCGTCTTGTTCTTAGATGTCTGAGACATTGACCTGCTCACTGTCTTAGCCTACCTGGTTTGTCCAGTGAGGCTTCTCAAGCCAACATGAGTGTCTGGAGTACACCTGAGGTCATGGACTCCTCTGTTTCTGGAATATGCCTGAGGTCATGGACTCCTCTGTGTCTGGAATATGCCTGAGGTCATGGACTCCTCTGTGTCTGGAATATGCCTGATGTCATGGACTCCTTGAACTTCTGATATGAGGAGTGGACTGGGAGACGGAAGACGAGAGTGCAGGTGTTGGCCTCTAGGTACAGCATGGGGAACACCCGTCTCTCCCCCTGAGTGTGCAGGAACTCCATGGTGGGCTGTGTGGGGAAGCCCAGTGTGGAGATGTCCTCCTGGACAGACACAAAGACCAGAAGCTTCCTGAGGTTCAGAGACTCACATCCCCCTGCTGAAGAGGACACAAAAACACAGACAATATGACCTAGGATGAATCTCGAGAGGCTGAGGTGCTTCTCCTAAACACAATGCATTACTATTCATATATAAAAACATTATTTCCTTGATTGGTTCTTGATCTCCTCTATTAGGCCTGCTTCCAGGACCCAGATAAAGTCATGGACTAAAAAGCGTCCCTTAAACATGATGATGAATCAAATGCGTTGAAGATTGATTATATTTTCCTTACCCTCCACCCCAACAAGCCAGTCCCTCCAGCAGCCATACCTTATGTTCTGTTAGATTCTAAATAAACAGAGTACAGACAACTAGGAAAAGCTCAAACCAAGTTTATTCACCCACTGGGTCAAACAGCTGCATAAGACAAAGACATGTTCCCACCAGCACAAGGAGTGTGCTCCTTTTCTCTAAACACTACATCTCTGTTGCTAGGCAGGAAGTGATGTGGGTAATAAAACTGTTCCTTCTCCCGTCATGTGACCTGACCTCGGCCCACTTTCCTCACTAATCCACAGCTATCCACCCTTATCAGTGACCGCAACCATGTGATTGCCTTTTCCCTTACTTAGTAACTCTCCAGGCCCATGGCTCATATCCACCCTTAATTGACCCCCACCATATACATTCCTCCTATATATAAACATTAACTTCTGGTGTAGCAAGTATTTCAAATTACAACCCAACAACTGAAACCAGACAGTGGCCCTTCTCCTCTCTATAGGATCCCTAATATCTAACAATAACATGTTCCGACAGAATGTAAACTCTGCATTCCCCTCTCTCCCTCAGTAACATGAATATTTCATATTTCAAGTTTAGAAGTCAGTGCCCATCAGTTCTCAGCAATTCTATCACTATCGGGGGCTGAGAAGCTCACGTGGAAGAGCGTGAGGAGGTCTACTGTGGAGAGAGGTCTGGCTAGGAACATCTGCTTGAATACAGCAGGATGCCTCCAGCAAGCCCAGAGTAGCCAGTCATTCTTCCAGTCTGTTTAAACACAACAAAAAGGACAACACACAACAGAGTGATGGACATGCACAAGAGACTGAGCTCATAAAGGTCATTACTGTAACTGGTTTTATCTCACTGCTGTGCCAAAAGTGACTCAGCAGTTATTGTAAAAAACATACTTACTGGTCCACATGACAACCGAACCTCCAAATAACCCCTCGCAGCAAACCGCACAATGGCTTCCCTTTCCTCCCATGTCTGGACAGGGCTGAGGACCGAAGCAGGCGCAGAACTGAAGACTCCTCCTCCATGACCTCCCTCGCAGCCTCAAGGGTTGTGGCCCCCTTGAGCTGTGGGTTTAATTACATGATGAGGAGATATCACAATGCAAATCAAAGCCCCAGGTCTGTATTCACAAAACATCTCAGAGCAGGAGTGCTGATGTAGGATCAGGTTTCCATTTTAGAACATAATGAATAAGAGTATACAGGTAACTGCCAAAATAATGGAAACATTTGAGTAAATGAGGGATTCAAAGTATATTGAAAGCAGGTGCTTCCTGAGTTAATTAAGCAATTAACATCCCATCATGCTTAGGGTCATGTATAACAATGCTGGGCAGGCATTATTTTGGCCATTGTTTTTGCTACGATGGCTTTGCCCCCATAGGATGACAATGCCCCCATCCACAGGGCACGAGTGGTCACTGAATGGTTTGATGAGCATGAAAACGATAAACCATATGCTGTGGCCGTCTCAGTCACCAAATCTCAAACCCATTGAACACTTATGGGAGATTCTGGAGCGGAGCCTGAGACAGCGTTTTCCACCACCATCAACAAAACACCAAATGATGGAATTTCTCGTGGAAAAATGGTGTTGCATCCCTCCAATAGAGTTCCAGACACTTGTAGAATCTATGCCAAGGTGCACTGAAGCGGTTCTGGCTCGTGGTGACCTAATGCCCTATTAAGACACTACGTTGGCGTTTCCTTTATTTTTGCAGTTGCCTGTATGTACAGGGAGGACCTGGTCCTAGATCAGCACTCCTAGTCTGAGAAGCTATGTGAATAAAGGCCCAGGGCACAGGCTACAAACACAAACCAATATATACTGCTAACAACACATCAACAAGAACATTTCACGTGCCTTCTCCAGCCTGGCTCGCAGGTAGCTTAGTGGTTAAGAGCGTTGTGCCAGTAACCGAAAGGTCGCTGGTTCTAATCCCCGAGCCGACTAGGTGAAAAATCTGTCGATGTGCCCTTGAGCAAGGCACTTAACCCTAATTGCTCCTGTAAGTCGCTCTGGATAAGAGCGTCTGCTAAATGACTAAAATGTAAATGTATTTCCTGATGTGTGATCTCGTCCAGGAGCAGAGGGAAGACCGCAGATCATGTCAAACGTTCTCCTGGACAGGAAGTGGGGCCATGTCTCCCCATCCCATTATCCCACGCTAAAACATGGTACAAGTTAATACCACCATATTAAAATATTGTCCGAAAAAAATATATATATACTATGGATAGCGCATAAGAGGCAACCTAGCTATGTAGTAATATACCATACTAACACTACAGGACCTTATAGTTCAGTCTGCTAGGACTACACTGAAAGTTATAGGACTAGATAGAAAGTGTCATATTTGAACATATAAACAGTGCAATCTTACAAAATAGCAATTTACCATTGTAGTCCAATACTAGACTTTTGCAGTGGTCTGGCCCCTGGAACAAACAACACTTTGGGATGGCTGCCATCAACAGCTGAAGGATCTCCTGTGTTTGACCATGTTGGTCAACTGGCCCCTCACATTGAACCTCTGTTTGGGGTTGAAGCGTTTGTTGGCTGTTGTACAGTTGTTGGGGGCAGATGAGGAGAAGAGCACTGCATGAGTGACCGAGTGAAAGAATTTCCTGAAATTAATAAAGAAAAGTCAGGCTCACAAAAGTCCATCTCTTTTTAACTGTCAACCTCTAAGTATTTATTTCGATCATGAAAACGTGTAGACTTAGCGTTTATAGTTACTTACAGTTTAACTTGATCGTGCAGTGAGTGCAGCTTCAACCTCCTGCTGGATGCAGGTGGCAAAAATGATGCCCAGACCAGGGCTGGTTTTTCCAAAAGCATCGTAACACTAAGATCATCTTTCGTCCATTTAGTTTCAATGGAATTAAGATTATTTTAGTACTATGATGCTTTTGGGAAATCCAGCCTAGGACACGAGGCTGTTAGCCTGAGATCAGAAATATTTATAATTAAGGAAGATTACGCCGATTACGTTGCAAACGGAACGAAGCGGAGAGGGACCTACCTTAATTTGTCCAATAGAAACTCTCGTTTGGACTAATGATTACACCCGTGATTCCATACCAAACTCTGACTAAAGTTATGGAACTTTGTTCTCCAAGCGGGACGAGAAAGGCAATTCATGATTAATTTAACGCTAACACGCTTTAGGCTAACTGTATATGGAAAATGATGCACAAGTCAACTTTTCAACGAAGTTGTTTCCAAGGGGAACTGTTTTCAGTACCACAGTTTCCTGTCCGTCAGTGAAAATAGTCCGACTGTAATTGTTTCAGGGTTCAGTGTAAACTGAAGAAGTATATATATATAAAAAATAGCTACTTAGAGAGCGTTGATCTATTCTGCTCAAAGTACATGAACGATCTTACCCTGGACCTGCATATTTCACTAGTTTAAGAAAACACGATCGCCTTATCATTTTATAGCCATGAACCTCAGAATAGCACTTATTTTGTGCCTCTCCGCGCTGTCTTGCATCGCAGGTAAGGAACATTCACTGATGCAAATCAAATTTTTCGGCACAATTAAATAATACAACAGATACAGCTTCACAACTGTACATCTTTGACTCTGCAGACGATGAAGGAATGGTGCAAATTCCAGGAGGAAAGATGACGATGGGGACGAACTCAGCCGACGGCAGGGATGGAGAATCACCCACGAAAGAAGTGACAGTCGATCCATTCAGAATCGATAAATATCCCGTCACTAATTCTGACTTCAGGTAACTGTTATTTTGATACAGCGATGATGATTATGCTACTTCCCATTATGCAAAATGACGTTGAAAGGATTCATAAAATATGTATTTTCCAGACGTTGAAGTTAGGTTCATTTTAAGTTCTAAATGAAAGTTGAAAATACGTATTTTCCGGATGTTGAAAATACTTATTTTCCGGACACTGAAATCAGGTTCAATTGATTCTATGGCCAAATTTCAACTGCACATACATTCTCAATGAAGTAAGGATTATATCACAATGATCCTTTTTTATATCAATTTAATATAGGAACGAGATTGCAACATAGAATATATATTATTGCTCCCATCTGTCACATGCACTTATGTTAGCTTTTTCAAAAGCTTTAAAACAGGCAGCAATGATGTTCAAAGTAGTCCAACCTACAGAATAAACCGACAGACTACTTCAACTACAATAACTACAATTCTCAGTAATGTTTTTTTCTTGCTATGTTGTTGTTGAATGCTCTGGATAAGAGCATCTGCTGAATGACCAAAATGTAAATGTGAAAATAAACACTTGCAAAGCCTGCTGGGTATTATTCTAATTAGCTCCGCCCCCAAACAAGTACAAATGTGGTCTGTCCGGACTAGACCAGACCAAATCTGAACAAATCATGGACTTCTAGGCTATGTTTCACAAGTTTGAACAGCACAGTAAAGTACGGCACAGTTCAGTACAGTAGAGCACAGTAGAGTATACTACGGTACAGTACAGTTTAATTTAGTAGAGTACGGTTTAGTTCAGTAGAGTACATTAGAGTAAACTTTACTTTTCTTTACTGTGCTCTACTGTACTATACTCTACTTTTCTTGACTGTACTGTAATGTAATGTAATGTACTGCACTCTTCTGTGCCCTACTGTACTGTGCTGTGCTGTCCAAACTTGTGAAACATAACGTACGTCATGTTTGGCCAAAATCGAGGCCGGTCCGGACCAGACCAAATCTGAACCAAGCATAGACATCTATGATTGGTTCAGATTTGGTCTGGTCCGGACCAAAAATCAACGTCCGTGGACGTTGAAATCGAGGCCGGTCGGCACCAAAACAAGAAAAAATGACGGCCAAAAGACAAGATGGGGTCAGTCCATGCTTAGTGGGTTTGTATGTGGGCACACTAGTTGACATTGGTATCGGAGAATATTGAAGTGTTTTATTGTGTACATCCCAGGGAGTTTGTCCGGGCACAGAAATATAAGACTGAAGCAGAGACCTTCGGCTGGAGTTTTGTGTTCCAGGACTTTGTGTCTGAAGAGCTGAAGAGCAAAGTGACAGAGAAAATAGAGGTGTGTTGAAAGTCATGTTTGCATTTCATATCAAATTTCATATCAGATTTATTTTCTTCTGAATTGTGATAATGATTAACTCTCCTCTCCCCCCCTGAAGTCAGCACCTTGGTGGATGCCAGTCGAACGGGTGTTTTGGAGGCAGGTAATGAAGTCATTTTTGAGTTTTTCCCATCCACGCTCCATCTCATAGTCCTTCACCATTCCATACTGAATGTAAATCACTTCCTGTATGTATTACCCCTTTGTGATTATTCTACCAACCCTTCTGTTACCCCTCTCTTGATTTTAATACCCATCCCTTCCTCATTGCTTCTCTCCTTTGATTCTGTTTCTCCTCTACTGATTCTTTCACCTCCTGAATATCTTACCATGTCCCTGACCCCCATGTACCTATATCTGAACTACCTGACTCCTCTCCATGTGTTTGTCCAGCCTGCAGGTCCTGGTTCTGGGATCCGGGAGCGTCTGGACTCCCCGGTGGTCCAGGTGAGCTGGAACGATGCCCAGGCCTTCTGCAGCTGGAGGGGCAGGAGGCTGCCCAGCGAGGAGGAGTGGGAGTGGGCCGCACGCGGGGGCCTGCAGGGTGAGTGGGGCTCGCTAAGTCATTTTCAAAAAATTATTTTGTAGTGGGATTGTCTTTATTACAATGCCTACTGAGAGTGGGGGTGGATCTCCACAAAGAATAAGCCATTGATATCACCATAGAATAAAAACCCATAGAATTATAATTCTAAGTCTTGCTAAGTCCTCTGCAGTCATTGTTTTATTATTATTATTATTTATTTTGCAATTTTTTTGGGGGGTAGATCAGCTTTAATATTGCAGATAGATTGTAACTTCCATCAATGTAATTGTCTGCATCACTTCCAATCCCCCATATGGTTTTTTTCTCTCACATATATATATATATATACATATATACATACATATATATACATACATACATACATACATACATACATACATACATACATACATACATACATACATACATACATACAGTGGGGGAAAAAAGTATTTAGTCAGCCACCAATTGTGCAAGTTCTCCCATTTAAAAAGATGAGAGAGGCCTGTAATTTTCATCATAGGTACACGTCAACTATGACAGACAAAATGAGATTTTTTTTCCAGAAAATCACATTGTAGGATTTTTAATGAATTGATTTGCAAATTATGGTGGAAAATAAGTATTTGGTCAATAACAAAAGTTTCTCAATACTTTGTTATATACCCTTTGTTGGCAATGACACAGGTCAAACGTTTTCTGTAAGTCTTCACAAGGTTTTCATACACTGTTGCTGGTATTTTGGCCCATTCCTCCATGCAGATCTCCTCTAGAGCAGTGATGTTTTGGGGCTGTCGCTGGGCAACACGGACTTTCAACTCCCTCCAAAGATTTTCTATGGGGTTGAGATCTGGAGACTGGCTAGGCCACTCCAGGACCTTGAAATGCTTCTTACGAAGCCACTCCTTCGTTGCCCGGGCGGTGTGTTTGGGATCATTGTCATGCTGAAAGACCCAGCCACGTTTCATCTTCAATGCCCTTGCTGATGGAAGGAGGTTTTCACTCAAAATCTCACGATACATGGCCCCATTCATTCTTTCCTTTACACGGATCAGTCGTCCTGGTCCCTTTGCAGAAAAACAGCCCCAAAGCATGATGTTTCCACCCCCATGCTTCACAGTAGGTATGGTGTTCTTTGGATGCAACTCAGCATTCTTTGTCCTCCAAACACGACGAGTTGAGTTTTTCACCAAAAATTTCTATTTTGGTTTCATCTGACCATATGACATTCTCCCAATCCTCTTCTGGATCATCCAAATGCACTCTAGCAAACTTCAGACGGGCCTGGACATGTACTGGCTTAAGCAGGGGGACACGTCTGGCACTGCAGGATTTGAGTCCCTGGCGGCGTAGTGTGTTACTGATGGTAGGCTTTGTTACTTTGGTCCCAGCTCTCTGCAGGTCATTCACTAGGTCCCCCCGTGTGGTTCTGGGATTTTTGCTCACCGTTCTTGTGATCATTTTGACCCCACGGGGTGAGATCTTGCGTGGAGCCCCAGATCGAGGGAGATTATCAGTGGTCTTGTATGTCTTCCATTTCCTAATAATTGCTCCCACAGTTGATTTATTCAAACCAAGCTGCTTACCTATTGCAGATTCAGTCTTCCCAGCCTGGTGCAGGTCTACAATTTTGTTTCTGGTGTTCTTTGACAGCTCTTTGGTCTTGGTCATAGTGGAGTTTGGAGTGTGACTGTTTGAGGTTGTGGACAGGTGTCTTTTATACTGATAACAAGTTCAAACAGGTGCCATTAATACAGGTAACGAGTGGAGGACAGAGGAGCCTCTTAAAGAAGAAGTTACAGGTCTGTGAGAGCCAGAAATCTTGCTTGTTTGTAGGTGACCAAATACTTATTTTCCACCATAATTTGCAAATAAATTCATTAAAAATCCTACAATGTGATTTTCTGGATTCTTTTTTCTCAATTCGTCTGTCATAGTTGACGTGTACCTATGATGAAAATTACAGGCCTCTCTCATCTTTTTAAGTGGGAGAACTTGCACAATTGGTGGCTGACTAAATACTTTTCTCCCCACTGTACATACATACATACATATATACACATACATTTCCCTTTATTACTTTCCAACCCCACCACCCCTTCCCTGATTTTAGTAAACTAGTGAACAACAATGCTTAGGCCTCTACTTCCAGCTCATACAGTGAGGGAAAAAAGTATTTGATCCCCTGCTGATTTTGTAAGTTTGCTCACTGACAAAGAAATTATCAGTCTATAATTTTAATGGTAGGTTTATTTGAACAGTGAGAGACAGAATAACAACCAAAAAATGTCAAAAATGTTATTTGCATTTTAATGAGGGAAATAAGTATTTGACCCCTCTCAATCAGAAAGATTTCTGGCTCCCAGGTGTCTTTTATACAGGTAACGAGCTGAGATTAGGAGCACACTCTTAAAGGGAGTGCTCCTAATCTCAGCGTGTTACCTGTATAAAAGACACCTGTCCACAAAAGCAATCAATCAATCAGATTCCAAACTCTCCACTATGGCCAAGACCAAAGAGTTCTCCAAGGATTGTCAGGGACAAGATTGTAGACCTACACAAGGCTGGAATGGGCTACAAGACCATCGCCAAGCAGCTTGGTGAGAAGGTGACAACAGTTGGTGCGATTATTCGCAAATGGAAGAAACACAAAATAACTGTCAATCTCCCTCGGCCTGGGGCTCCATGCAAGATCTCACCTCGTGGAGTTGCAATGATAATGAGAATGGTGAGGAATCAGCCCAGAACTACACGGGAGGATCTTGTCAATGATCTCAAGGCAGCTGGGACCATAGTCACCAAGAAAACATTGGTAACACACTACGCCGTGAAGGACTGAAATCCTGCAGCGCCCGCAAGGTCCCCCTGCTCAAGAAAGCACATATACAGGCCCGTCTGAAGTTTGCCAATGAACATCTGAATGATTCAGAGGAAAACTGGGTGAAAGTGTTGTGGTCAGATGAGACCAAAATCGAGCTCTTTGGCATCAACTCAACTCGCCGTGTTTGGAGGAGGAGGAATGCTGCCTATGACCCCAAGAACACCATCCCCACCGTCAAACATGGAGGTGGAAACATTATGTTTTGGGGGTGTTTTTCTGCTAAGGGGACAAGACAACTTCACCGCATCAAAGGGACGATGGACGGGGCCATGTACCGTCAAATCTTGGGTGAGAACCTCCTTCCCTCAGCCAGGGCATTGAAAATGGGTCGTGGATGGGTATTCCAGCATGACAATGACCCAAAACACACGGCCAAGGCAACAAAGGAGTGGCTCAAGAAGAAGCACATTAAGGTCCTGGAGTGGCCTAGCCAGTCTCCAGACCTTAATCCCCTAGAAAATCTGTGGAGGGAGCTGAAGGATTGAGTTTCCAAACGTCAGCCTCGAAACCTTAATGACTTGGAGAAGATCTGCAAAGAAGAGTGGGACAAAATCCCTCCTGAGATGGGTGCAAACCTGGTGGCCAACTACAAGAAACGTCTGACCTCTGTGATTGCCAACAAGTACTAAGTCATGTTTTGCAGAGGGGTCAAATACTTATTACTTTTTTCCCTCACTGTACATACTATATACATTTGATGGACACAGTCAATTTTACAATAATTCTATTTAGTTTGTTTTTACTCCTGAACTTCCTCTACCCTCAACCTCTCCAATCATTTTCATGATGTCCATCCGCTTTGCTTCTATAGGCCATATCTTTCTAACTGTGCTCTTTCACAAAAGCTCTCAACCTATAATTTTTTACATTTTAGTCATTTAGCAGACGCTCTTATCCAGAGCGACTTACAGTTAGTGAGTGCATACATTTTCATATAACTTATATACTTATTATGGACACAGTATGCTTTACATTAGTTATCTTGTTGTTATTAGTTGTTGTTAGTCGTTATTAGTTCCATCCTTCAACTCCATTCAACACCACCCATCTATCTCTTAACAACCATCCATATTTGATTTCTATTTGCCATATATTTTTCAACTGTACTGTGATGTTTTACAAAAGTTGTTTTTTATTAAGCTTAAAATGAATAGCCATTCATAGATAACAGCCCTCCTCCATTCCATGTTGATAACAGAACCCCTTCTTCCCTTCAGGTAGAACGTATCCCTGGGGAAACAAATTCCAGGCCAACCGCTCCAACCTGTGGCAGGTCAGACGAATGATATCGCATTCACCATCCTGAAATGAACATTCTAACGTTCTTCTCAACCTTTAAAAAAAAATATATATTTTGGTTCCTGTGTTCTAAAGCCAAAGTTAGAACTTACGTAACCTACATCCTACACAAGCTTCCATGTTAGGATTTGCTCAAAAATATTTTATTCATGATTTATCAAGTGATTACAATTAGTATCCCTTGACTTGAATCATCAGTAAGGTTACTTCATATAGCAGTATAGGTCGTTATCAATACAACGTCACAATAAGGTGCAGAGCGTTCCATTTAATAATAATAATAATAATAATATGCCATTTAGCAGACGCTTTTATCCAAAGCGACTTACAGTCATGCGTGCATACATTTTTGTGTATGGGTGGTCCCGGGGATCGAACCCACTACCTTGGCGTTACAAGCGCCGTGCTCTACCAGCTGAGCTACAGAGGACCAGTCTTCTTGCCTGCTGGGGGGCAAGAAGACTCGCAGCTCCGCAAAAAACATTTACAACTGTGTGCAGTTTTCATTGTTAAATAAATGTTAACTGTTTGGTTGTAATATCATCACCTCTAGAAGAGCATAGTCAGAACTACAAATGTCTGGTTATTCCATACAAAACAATTGCACACATTTAGATCAATCATCAGAGTTATAGGCCTACTGCAAGTACAGTGGGGAGAACAAGTATTTGATACACTGCCGATTTTGCAGGTTTTCCTACGTACAAAGCATGTAGAGGTCTGTAATTTTTATCATAGGTACACTTCAACTGTGAGAGAAGGAATCTAAAACAAAAATCCAGAAAATCACATTGTATGATCTTTAAGTAATTAATTTGCATTTTATTGCATAACATAAGTATTTGATCACCTACCAACCAGTAAGAATTCCGGCTCTCACAGACCTGTTAGTTTTTCTTTAAGAAGCCCTCCTGTTCTCCACTCATTACCTGTATTAACTGCACCTGTTTGAACTCGTTACCTGTATAAAAGACACCTGTCCACACACTCAATCAAACAGACTCCAACCTCTCCACAATGGCCAAGACCAGAGAGCTGTGTAAGGACATCAGGGATACAATTGTAGACCTGCACAAGGCTGGGATGGGCTACAGGACAATAGGCAAGCAGCTTGGTGAGAAGGCAACAACTGTTGGAGCAATTATTAGAAAATGGAAGAAGTTCAAGATGACGGTCAATCACCCTCGGTCTGGGGCTCCATGCAAGATCTCACCTTGTGGGGCATCAATGATTAATTACTTAAAAATCATACAATGTGATTTTCTGGATTTTTGTTTTAGATTCCGTCTCTCACAGTTGAAGTGTACCTATGATTAAAATTACAGACCTCTACATGCTTTGTAAGTAGGAAAACCTGCAAAATCGGCAGTGCATCAAATACTTGTTCTCCCCACTGTAACTGCATGCTTTTCATGATCAGAAACATAAATTGATCATGACATTTCAGATACGTGAGGGTAGCCTCACAATATACACTGCTCAAAAAAATTAAGGGAACACTTAAACAACACATCCTAGATCTGAATGAATGAAATAATCTTATTAAATACTTTTTTCTTTACATAGTTGAATGTGCTGACAACACAATCACACAAAAATTATCAATGGAAATCAAATTTATCAACCCATGGAGGTCTGGATTTGCAGTCACCCTCAAAATTTAAAGTGGAAAACCACACCACAGGCTGATCCAACTTTAATGTAATGTCCTTAAAACAAGTCAAAATGAGGCTCAATAGTGGGTGTGGCCTCCACGTGCCTGTATAACCTCCCTACAACGCCTGGGCATGCTCCTGATGAGGTGGCGGATGGTCTCCTGAGGGATCTCCTCCCAGACCTGGACTAAAGCATCCGCCAACTCCTGGACAGTCTGTGGTGCAACGTGGCATTGGTGGATGGAGCGAGACATGATGTCCCAGATGTGCTCAATTGGATTCAGGTCTGGGGAACGGGCGGGCCAGTCCATAGCATCAATGCCTTCCTCTTGCAGGAACTGCTGACACACTCCAGCCACATGAGGTCTAGCATTGTCTTGCATTAGGAGGAACCCAGGGCCAACCGCACCAGCATATGGTCTCACAAGGGGTCTGAGGATCTCATCTCGGTACCTAATGGCAGTCAGGCTACCTCTGGCGAGCACATGGAGGGCTGTGCGGCCCCCCAAAGAAATGCCACCCCACACCATGACTGACCCACCGCCAAACCGGTCATGCTGGAGGATGCTGCAGGCAGCAGAACGTTCTCCACGGCGTCTCCAGACTCTGTCACGTCTGTCACATGTGCTCAGTGTGAACCTGCTTTCATCTGTGAAGAGCACAGGGCGCCAGTGGCGGATTTGCCAATCTTGGTGTTCTCTGGCAAATGCCAAACGTCCTGCACGGTGTTGGGCTGTAAGCACAACCCCCACCTGTGGATGTCGGGCCCTCATACCATCCTCATGGAGTCTGTTTCTGACCGTTTGAGCAGAGACATGCACATTTGTGGCCTGCTGGAGGTCATTTTGCAGGGCTCTGGCAGTGCTCCTCCTGCTCCTCCTTGCACAAAGGCGGAGGTAGCGGTCCTGCTGCTGGGTTGTTGCCCTCCTACGGCCTCCTCCACGTCTCCTGATGTACTGGCCTGTTTACTGGTAGATATAAAAAGTGAACTATACCTGAAAAGTAAGAGTGGTTTAGGTTAATTTCCCATCATTTGTGGGCTCTGCCTGTCAAGCAGCAGAAGGGTGCATTTGTTGATGTAACATTACAAGCTACCGGTAGAAACTTTGTACAGTTGGCAAAACATAGTGGGAAGTAGACCTAATGTAATTTTTCTCCAACCAACGAAGGCCTACCTAGTGAAGTTGGCCGACATGATCCCTTTTCAACATTGTTAGTAAATAGTGTTTAATCACGATTGCTGCTGACAGACATGATAGGCTATATTGATGGATGGACCATGTCAAATTGGCTAGCTATTAATAACAGATCACGTCAATATGGCTAGTTAACAAGCTAACTTTCAGGGATAAACTACACTGAACAAAAATATAAATGCAACATGTAAAGTGTTGGTCCCATGTTCCATGAGCTGAAATAAAAGATCCCAGAAATGTTCCATACGCACAAAAAGCTTATATCTCTCATATTTTGTGCACAAATTTGTTGACATCCCTGTTAGTGAGCATTTCTCCTTTGCCAAGATAATCCATCCACCTGACAGGTGTGGCATATCAAGAAGCTGATTGAACAGCATGATCATTACACAGGTGCATCTTGTGCTGGGGACAATAAAAGGCCACTATAAAATGTGCAGTTTTGTCACACAACACAATGCCACAGATGTCTCAAGTTTTGAGGGAGTGTACAATTGGCATGCTGACTGCAGGAATGTCCACCAGAGCTGTTTCCAGAGAATGGAATGTTCATTTCTCTACCATAAGCCGCCTCAATGATGTTTTAGAGAATTTGGCAGTACGTCCAACCGGCCTCACAACCGCAGACCATGTGTATGGCGTTGTGTGGGCGAGCGGTTTGCTGATGTCAACGTTGTGAACAGAGTGCCCCATGGTGGTGGTGGGGTTATGATATGGGTAGGCATAAGCTATGGACAACTAAATTAAAATTGCATTTTATCGATGGCACAGAGATACCATGACGAGATCCTGTGGCCCATTGTCGTGCCATTCATCCGCCGCCATCACCTCATGTTTCAGCATGATAATGGACGGCCCCATGTCACAACGATCTGTACTCAATTCCTGGAAGCTGAAAATGTCTCAGTTCTTCAATGGCCTGCATACTCACCAGACATGTCACCCATTGAGCATGTTTGGGGATGCTCTGGATTAACGTGTACGACAGCGTGTTCCAGTTTCTGCCAATATCCAGGCAAATGGTGGTCAAACCAGATACTGACTGGTTTTCTGATCCACGCCCCTACCTTTATTTAACTTTATGTAACTCAGTAAAATCTTTGAAATTGTTGCATGTTGTGTTTATATTTTTGTTTAGTATGAATGGCTATATCCAAATATTGTTTGATTTGCTTGGCATCTATAGTTGTGATGACAGCAGTCCGACTGACAACTTTACCAGGACGAGGACTTGCCGATGTCAAGCTCTTTCCAAAAACCTAATCTCTGATGAAGCGAGCTAAATTACCCATGTTGTTTGCTTAGCTAGCATGCCAAATGGATCTCGCAACCCTCACGTATCTGAAAATACATGATACATTGATGTTCACTGTTTGCTGTAGAACTCTGATGACAGAGCGAAATGTGGAATAATCGGAAATGTGTAGTTCTGACTATGCTCTTCGTGTGATGATATTAAAACCAACTAGATAGTATATTGGTGGGACTTGCTTTAACTCTTTACAGTGTTTTTGTTGTAGTGGAAGAAGTTTAAAATGTTTTACTTAAGCCAAGAAGTTAAATATAGTCCAAGTTAAATTTAGTAAAATAATTGGTCTGATTACTTTGATAGACTACACTATCAACCTTATTACTTTGGATTGTGGGTCAGTTAGATCACATATTTCATCACAAATAACTACATTCAGACTAGCCTACTACACTTTTATACACTCTCCTACTAGAATATATGTAAACTGTAATAATAGAGTACAGAAGACAAGGAGCATTGTTGAAGTTACCCTTTTAAGTTTTTGTCTACAATGGGTTGCTGTGAAAAGTGGTCAAGATAGCGCATTAGTGTCAAAAGTCTCATGCTTAGAATGTGCTCCCCCATTGTTATAATTTGAAAGTTCTGAAAAGTTCAATGGCAGTTAATTCAACAGTGGGAAGTTAGCTAAATTAGAGATGTACCTCTTGATTGGTAGTAGATACTGTTCTTATTTCAGATTTGAATAGCAGAGAAGTAGACCAAGGTGTCATACCCTTTAAGTTTGTCTACGTTGTTGGGAAAAGTGGTCAAGGTAGCTGATTTGTGTCATGCTTAGAATGTGCTCCCCCATTTTTATAATTTGAAAGTTCTGAAAAGTTCCATAGCAGTTAATAGTTGATGTGGTTACTAAAACAGCTGTACCTCTTGATTGGTAGTAGATATTTATGTTCTTATTTCAGATTTGAAGAGCAGAGAAGTAGACCAAGGTGTCATTCACTCTAAGTTTTTGTCTAAAGTGCTGGGAAAGTGGTCAAAATTAGAAAAAGGTTGTTGCATTTAGAGTGAATGGAAGTTGGCAGTGATGATGTCACAATGGGGAGCTTTAGAATGTTGAAAAAAGTAACATTAAAGTGAATGATGATGGACAAAAAAGTATAAATAATATCCAAAAGTTGTATGCAACAACACTATTCCAGGCCAGTCTGCACATTTTAAAGTTTGAAGGACATTACTAGCTTTAACGGTGTAAGAGGAGTAGCGTGCATAAGATTAATAAGAAGAAGTATGATGAAGATTTAAAGTTGGGACTTTTGCTTCACAATTCCCAACGAAATATTTGGCCTATAACATTTATTTAACAATCCCTTGAAAACGGCACGTAGTTGTCAATGGTTTCAGCCGATCTGGGGCATCTCCTTCCCCCCAGCAGCCAAATGGAAAGCTGTTGTGATGTTTTATTGATAACGACCTATTATAAATGAGACATTACATTATTATCCTGATGTGTGTTTCAGGGCCTGTTCCCTGATGGAGACACAGCAGAGGATGGTTACCATGGTATCGCCCCTGTCACTGCTTTCCGTCCTCAGAACAGTTTTGGTAAATATCCCTTTATACAGCCTTCCACCCAGCTTAGCAAAGGGAGAATCAGAGCATCACTATATTCTTGATCCATATACAATTCTTTCAGATCTACATAGGAGTAGTGGCCAGGGGTAGTGTATAGCAGTAGTGGCCAGGGGTAGTGTATAGCAGTAGTGGCCAGGGGTAGTGTATAGGGGTAGTGGCCAGGGGTAGTGTATAGGGGTAGTGTATAGGAGTAGTGGCCAGGGGTAGTGTATAGGGGTAGTGGCCAGGGGTAGTGTATAGGGGTAGTGGCCAGGGGTAGTGTATAGGGGTAGTGGCCAGGGGTAGTGTATAGGAGTAGTGGCCAGGGGTAGTGTATAGGAGTAGTGGCCAGGAGTAGTGTATAGGGGTAGTGGCCAGGGCATTGTCTTACTTCAGATAGTGTGATAATTCCGCCTGGACTGCCAGTTGAGGTTACGAACGTCACGTAGGAGTGACGCCACTGACGTAGGACAATGGGCCAGGGGTCCATTTAGAATTGGTCATCAGTTTGTTTCTCGGTCCCCTCCCTCAGGACTGTATGACATGATGGGAAACGCATGGGAGTGGACATCTACACCCTTCCCTGGAGCACAACCAATGTTCGTTCTGCGTGGTGGTTCCTGGATCGACACGGAAGATGGATCAGCCAATCACAAGGCTCGAATCACGACCAGGCAAGTGAACGTTTACTCTATTGTTACTCCTGTTTAATCTTATAGTTATTCTCTGACTTTATTCATAACTGCTCCAGGGCCAGTTTATGTTACTCATAAATTAAGGGCTGGACTGGGATAGATAGATCTGATTATGAGTCCTAACATCAAATGCAAAGCTTACCCAGTGGGCATACAATGTGATAAAGACGTCTTTTACTGGTTGAAATCTGTTCGGGACGTCTTATGCACCCATTGCATATGAAACACTAGAACCATTACAATTATAACAATTGGAGTAATGCTCTTTTCCAGCAGGGTTTGCATGATTCAGCTTGGCAAACAGCTGGCAGAGCGCACCAAAGCGGGTTAGGGTCTTGTGGTTATACTGTACCCAGTCAACATGCTGGGCTCGGGCCTAATCTGAGACTCGGGGGACTCGGCATGGACTCGGACTAAGGGAGAATTCTTCCCGACTCCGGCAGAATCATATTACTCTGAGCTCCGGCTAATGGTACCCTGGCCGAGTCCACTTCAGCTTATCCGGCCCGATTAACTTTTTCAGGAGTAGGGCCATTTGAGGTTTCTGTTCGGCAGGTGTTGAAATATCAGTTTTAAAAAAACAAAGAAATGTGATATATTTCACCCCTGAGTCATGGAATTTGCTAGGTAATTAAAAGCTAACATTTGTGACAGTCTCTGAGGTCCTATAGCTATCAGAGATGGTCCCTAATTTAGAGAATCTCTGATGCTATAAATTATGTTGCTTTTACTACAGGCTATGGCAGTTTTTCATAGTTGCAGTCCACATAATTGAAAAGTGCACATTCACTTCCATAACATTTGTTATAGGCTACCAGCATGTAAGATGAACATGCACAATAATACAGGATACCCTTACAGAAATGCACTGCAGTAAAACTGAAGTACAATGTTGTTTCATAAATGATATCTGGTAGCTTGCTGTGTGTGTTGGCTCCTAATGGTCGTCTTTTATCTGTGTTAGCTAATTAGTTTATTGTGCTGCACATTGTCTTCTGTTCCACTGAATGCTGTTTTGATGTTCTATTATGACTAATTACATTTGTTTTCAGAATTTAACAAAGAACACCTAGGCCTATGTATTTTATTTCAATATCATACTACAATCACCCAGGTTTTACAAAACCCTATTTTTATAGCATTTCTTTCCATAAATAATGAGTAAAGAGTTATTGCACCTGAATTTGACCCTGAAAATATTATATTTATATTATGTTATATTATATTTTCCCTTAAAGCTTTTAATAAAGTAACATGATGCAGGCAGCAATTGTATTTTAATTTCAGTAGCTAAATAATGATAAAACTTGGATTGGAATCTGTGCCTCACGTACAGTAATAGATGTCTGTGCGCAGGCAGCCAGCTTGCCCGAGAACATTGGTCAACATCATGGAGTTTGCTAAATATTTTCATAAAGAAACTGACAAAGATGAGGACCAAGAGCAAGAGAGGGAGTGTGGTGATGTAGTGTCCACAACTAAAGAATCATTGTGGAATCTGAAAAGACACATATCCCAAAAGCATGATGGTGTACTTACTACATGCACATGCTAAAATAAAGGAACGAGGTGGGTAGATAACTAAGTGTGTCTTTGTTGCAAAGTATTTATAAACAAAAAATCTGATCTCTTAAAAGTTTCCTTCATTTTTGTTCTATTATCTATACAATTGGCAATAATTGATTTTGGCCCAATAGGCCTGGCATATTCCCACTTTCAAGGAGCTTTCTGTTTTGATTGGGTTATTTTGCCTGAAAAAAGCAACTCTGCCCAGCCTGGCAAGAGTGGCCCGAAGGGTGTTTAGAATCCACAATGGTTCTGTAAGTGCAGAGAGGATATTCTCCGCTGCTGGTCTGCTCTCCAGGCACAATCACATGAGACTGAAGCCACAGACTCTGGCCAAACTCGTGTTTCTAAAAATGATTTCAAAGGCACTAGACTGAGCCTAATAAGGCATTTATCGTTTAATTTGTATTTAATTGTAAGTAAGTCACATCCTATATGCGCAATTTATAGACTATAATGATTCAATACAACAAAATGTTGTTTAAATGCTGAGCACTTAATGTCCCTACCAATCTAGTGTCACACTCGCAAATGCTTCACAATGTATATTTTTGTAGGCTATAGCCTTGAAATAATTGAAAAATATAGCCTAAATAATTAATTTCTGTTTCTTCTTAGGCTCCCTGTCTGGCTTTTGACCTATTTAGAGTGTTTACATGCAGTTTGATAAGACGTAGCTTATTTGATATGATGAGCGCTTCTTACATTCAAGTTTTCATGTTGATTAAAATACTTTTCATTAAAATCATATGGTTTGATTTCAATACTTCTAAACCAAATGGTAGCACCAGGTAGTCACAGAAATTGATGGGTGTTGGTTAAATTGTGATTTTAACGAATGGAGCGAATTCGGAGCGGCAGTTTTTTTTTTCTCCTGTGAGCGCTGAGCGGTTTTTAGCGGAGTTGTTGGAAAGAATGTGGAATGCCAGAGCAGTGCGGAAGCACCTAGTGGAGCGGGATTTCCGACCGCTTAATCACAAGAATATGACCAACTGGCCGTATGGTGGTAAAAAAAATACATCATATTCTTGTCAGTGAAAATACTTTTAAAAAACGTCATTTTTCAACCAGTTTGCGACCAGAATAAGACATCATACTGATGTCTTTTCAACCAGGTTTTACCCACTGGGTAGTTGTAACTGTTGTAATTGAAAGGGAAAGGGGGATACCTAGTCAGCTGTACAACTGAATGCATTCAACTGAAATGTGTCTTCTGCATTTACCCAACCCCTCTGAATCAGAGAGGTGCGGGGGGGCTGCTTTAATCGACATCCACGTCATCGGCTCCCGGGGAGCAGTTTTTGTTGGGGGTTAACTGCCTTGCTCAGGGGCAGAACGACAGATTTGTTTTACCTTTATCGGCTCGGGATTCGATCCAGTAACCTTTCGGTTTTCGATGTACAGAATGAGGGTTTGGGGATCGATTGCTGTTACTTTACTTGGAAAATGGGCGGTGTTGAATGTGACTGTGTTTTGTTTCTGTGTTTCTACAGGATGGGGAACACTCCGGACTCGGCTTCTGATAACTTGGGCTTCAGGTGTGCTGCCAGGAAGAAGGACAAAACAGAGCTGTAGGGACCAATAAATGACGGTGATAAAGATTACGCCACCAGGGAGAGCAATATAGAATTAGGTACTATGCAGTGACGATAACGTTTAGTAAGATTAAGACTGAGACAGTGGTGAGGATGTTGGTAATGTGCAGGAAGCAGACATTTTTCTCCTGTGGAGACCTGGGCTCAAAGTAATCTGCCTAACCTATGTGTATTTTTCTATGAACTACAATTTCTATGATACAATGAGCAATAAACAAGATTTTACATCAAGATGTTGCAAAATGTACTTACTGGTTTACAACACCTGTTTTGCACACTGTCATTGCATGCTAGGAATATGGGATCAAATACTATATTTGTGACTACTTTTAATACACATATACAGTAAGTGAATTTGTCCCAATACTTTTGGTCCCCTAAAATGGGGGGACTATGTACAAAAAGTGCTGTAATTTCTAAACGGTTCAGCCAATATGGATGAAAATACCCTCAAGTTAAAGCAGACAGTCTGCACTTTAACTTCATAGTCATTGTATCATTTCAACTCTATAAAGTGCTGGAGTACAGAGCCAAAACAACAACAAAAATGGTTACTGTCCCAATGCTTTTGGAGCTCACTGTAAGTGATAACACACGATGTACAGTAGGACTGAGCCGAGCTGTAGGGCAATTCCATGGTAACAGAGTGGTGCTGACACTCAGATTATTGACTTTAAAATGTAAGTAAACTAAAAGCAATGATGTCATAGTGAAACAAACCATACAACTATATGCACAAGGACTAATTTTAACAATTTGCAATCACTGGTTTGTTTGAAGTACTTTTTAAAGTGAACAATCTGAATCTCTGCATCACTCAGTGACCGTGGAATTGCCCTGTACCAATCCACACCACGCCAGCATGGCTCAGTATTGTACAGCCTGCTGTCATTTCATGCCCAACCCACCTCCTGGAGAGCTATCCTATAGGTTTTCACTTAATCCCTTACCTACACTACCGGTCAAAGGTTTTAGAACAGCTACTCATTCAAGGGTTTTTCTTTATTTTTACTATGTTCTACATTGTAGAATAATAGTGAAGACATCAAAGCTGTGAAATGACATATATGGAATCATGTAGTAACCAAAAAAGTGTTAAACAAATCAAAATATATTTTATATTTGAGATTCTTCAAATAGCCACCATTTGCCTTGATGACAGCTTTGCAAACTCTTTGCATTCTCTCAACCAGCTTCGAGGTAGTCACCTGGAATGCATTTAAATTAACAGGTGTGCCTTCTTAAAAGTTAATTTGTGGAATTTCTTTACTTCTTAATGTGTTTTTAGCCAATCAGTTGTGTTGTGACAAGGTATACAGAAGATAGCCCTATTTGGTAAAAGACCAAGTCCATATTATAGCAAGAACAGCTGAAATAAACAAAGAGAAACGACAGTCAATCGTTACTTTAAGACATTAAGGTCAGTCAATATGGAACATTTGAAGAACTTTTAAGGTTTCTTCAAGTGCAGTCGCAAAAACCATCAAGCGCTATGATGAAACTGGCTCTCATGAGGACTGCCAAAGGAATGGAAGACCCAGAGTTACCTCTGCTGCAGAGGATAAGTTAATTAGAGTTACCAGCCTCAGAAATTGCATCCCAAATAAATGCTTCACAGAGTTCAAGTAACAGACACATCTCAACATCAACTGTTTAGAGGAGACTGTGTGAATCAGGCCTTCATGGTCGAATTGCTGCAAAGAAACCACTACTAAAGGACACCAATAAGAAGAAGAGACCTGCTTGGGCCAAGAAACACGACCAATGGACATTAGACCAGTGGAAATTTGTCCTTTGGCCTGGAGTCCAAATTGGAGATTTTTGGTTCCAACCGCTGTGTATTTGTGAGACGCGGTGTGGGTGAACGGATGATCTCTGCATGTGTATTTCCCACCGTAAAGCATGGAGGAGGAGGTATTATGGTGTGGGGGTGCTTTGCTGGTGACACTGTCTGTGATTTATTTAGAATTCAAGGCACACTTAACCAGCATGGCTACCACAGCATTCTGCAGTGATACACCATCCCATCTGGTTTGGGCTTAGTGGGACTATCATTATTTTCCAACAGGACAATGACCCAACACACCTCCAGGCTGTGTAATGGCTATTTTACCGAGAAGGAGAGTGATGGAGTGCTGCATCAGATGACCTGGCCCCCACAATCCCTCGACCTCAACCAAATTGAGATGGTTTGGGATGAGTCGGACCGCAGAGTGAAGGAAAAGCAGCCAACAAGTACTCAGCATATGTGGGAACTCCTTCACGACTGTTGGAAAAGCATTCCAGGTGAAGCTGGTTGAGAGAATGCCAAGAGTGTGCAAAGCTGTCATCAAGGCAAAGGGTGGTTATTTGAAGAATCTCAAACATAAAATATATTTTGATTTGTTTAACACTTTTTTGGTTACTACATGATTCCATATGTGTTATTTCATAGTTTTCATGTCTTCACTATTATTCTATGTGTAGAAAATAGTAAAAATAAAGAAAAACCCTTGAATGAGTAGGTGTTCTAAAACTTTTGACGGGTAGTGTACACGACTCATATTGTTTAGCAGTAGCAAGGTTTCCATCCAATTGGCAACAGACTTTCATGCGAATATTCAAAAATATGCACATTTTCCCACCAGTGGTGTGTTTCTACCAAAATGATGAGGTAGTGCACACAAAATGTACTTTTTCACTTACGTTTTCATGAATCTAATGTTCAATGTGTTTCCATCGCATTTTCAACTCTTCCGATAGTGTTGTCACAAACGGTTGCGTTAATTTAGCAAATGTGCCTCAGGTCTTGGCACGTGCGCTCTAGCGAACAGCTCACAGATACAGTGCGGGTAGGTTAGTCTACATGAAGAGATTATTATTCATATTTTTATTTGTCAAACGGCAGTCAAGTATCGATCATCATGTCATCAGAATAAGACCCTCGACATTTATTGGAAAGGAGCACCAAGCTCATCACCGTGCACTTCCACCACCGTGTGATATTCATCATAACTAATTTCATCTGTAGCCTAATAAACTGCATGGTTTCCCGAGTCTTAGTGGGAGGACCACACAACAAATCATCGCTTTACTCCAAGTTTACTTTGATATGATGGTTATTATATCAATATTTACGCATAAAGACGTTTCCACCGCCATTTCTCGCATAATTAATTTTACAGACAACAAAAAGATCCCACCATGTCGAACGAACAAATGATCTGTCAGCATTTATAAAATTGTACCTAAACTTCCTGTTTCCATCACAGCTGTCGTGATTTTTAAAAAATACTTTATGACTTTACTCGCATAGAAACTGTGGAAACGTGGTTAATGACTATCACATACATTAAATATAGAACCATATTTCTAACCAATAGACAGCAGCTGGTCATAATCATCATCTCTCTATGTGACAAATGTCCTATGGCACAATGCCTTCATACAGCGTCAAAGAAATTACAGGAACTCTCAGTACCACTAATGGTTAAGTTACAGGGGTGATTGTTGTAGGCCGTCATTGTAAATAAGAATTTGTTCTTCACTGACTTGCAAGTGCAGAGAGGATATTCTCCGCTGCTGGCCTGCTCTCCAGGCACCATCGCATGAGACTGAAGCCACAGACTCTGGCCAAACTTGTGTTTCTAAAAAATTTCGTCGAATTATTATTTAATTATAAGTAAGTCAACGCCTATATGCGCAATTTATAGACTAGAAGGATTTAATACAACGAAATATTGTTTAAATGCTGACCGCTTTATGTCCCTACCAGCCTAGTGTCGCAATCGCAAATGCTTCACAATGTAATTCTTTGTAGGCTATAGCCTTGAAATAATGAATTTCCGTCTTCCTTATGCTCCCTGTCTGGCTCCTGACCAATTTAGTGTTTATATGCTGTTTTCTAAGACATGTAGCCTATTTGAAATTATGAGCGCTTCTTACATTCACCTTTTGATGTTTATTCAAATACTTGTCATTCAAATCATATGGTTTGGTTTCAATACTTCAAAACCAAATGGTAGCGCCAGGTAGTCACAAAAATAGATGGATGTTGGTTAAATTGTGATTTTAATGAATGGAGCGAATTCGGAGCGGCAATTCGTTTTTTCTGTGAGTGCAGAGCGGTTTTTAGCAGAGACGTTGGAAAGGATGTGGAGCGCCAGAGCTGTGAGCAAGCACCGCTCCGTGAGCGATGAGCGGGGATTTCTGATTTCTGATTTCTGTCCGCTCACATACTCTGCCCCTTTCATCTCTATGGTCCAAAATCGAGTTAGAGAGCTGTCAAGCCATGATTTTAAGAGATCAGAAAAGGTTGAATACATTGGCCATGCTGTCAATCCAGCATGATTTCTGCCGCATTCAAAACAACTGGAAACTCTGAACTGGGAAATCTCAGACTTCAGTGCTTTCAAGACAACTTGGAACTCGGGAAAAACAACCTCGGACTGGGAAAATAAGTTTTGAAAGGTCATCCAACTCGGAATTCGAAGTCGGGAACTCAGGCCTCTTTCTAGAGCTCCGACCTGAAGATCACTGACGTCATAGTTCGACCTTGTTTATTTCCGAGTTCCCAGTTGTCTTGAAAGCACCAGAGAATGCCAGAGTTTGATGACAAAGTTTGTCCACAAGAAGGACCGCCGAGCTATGTTCAGGTGAGCACAGCACAACAGTGAGTCCAAAAATATGTATTGTATACTACTGCATCAATTATGTAATATGCCAGGGAGATCAGTAGCTAATAAAGTAATACTAAGTGTATGTTGTGTAGTAAATTGTTAGTAGCTATGTGTTTCACCCTCTCTACCCCTCAGAACAGCCTACTGCTCCGACTTGGTGGTGCACATGTAGCCTATAGCCTGTTTTAGAGAAATGTCATCATCGAATATCGTAAGTTTATTTTTATTTTATTTCACCTTTATTTAACCAGGTAAGCCAGTTGAGAACAAGTTCTCATTTACAACTGCGACCTGGCCAAGATAAAGCAAAGCAGTGCGATAAAAACAACAATACAGAGTTACATATGGGGTAAAAAAAACATTAAGTCAAAGAAATACAACAGAAAATATATATACAGTGTGTGCAAATGTAGCAAGTTATGGAGGTAAGGCAATAAATAGGCTATAGTGCAAAATAATTACAATTAGTATTAACACTGGAATGCTAGATGTGCAAGAGATTATGTGCAAATAGAGATACTGGGGTGCAAAAGAGCAAAATAAATAACAATATAGGGATGAGGTAGT